ATGGGCTTGGTGCCCAGCTGACTTTTCACACATTGAATTGGGTCAAAGCAGGGTCTTCCCAGACCCAGAATTCACCCCAGGCTTTACGGCCAGAGTTGTGCTGGGCTTTGTCCAGGGTCCCCAGATTCAGATGCCCTCAGAGGCTGGGTTGGGGTCGTTGGGGTAGGTCAGCTCCCTGGACCCCTCCGAAGAAGTAGACTCATGGACCCCAGTCCTCAGCCTTCCCTGTCGCCTCCCAGACAGGTCGTCCCTGTAGACGTTTACCAGGAGGAGTCTCTAGGTGAGCCCTTACCTGCATTCAGCATTACAGCTGTTGGGGCACCTGGGAGCGCCCAGGAGGGTCCAGGCCTGCTGACAGGCAGCCATTGCCCAGCTCCCACTGAGTGTGGCTTGATTTCCTGATTTTTCTAGAGAAGCCATGAATTCCACTTCTTATTTGAAAGTTCCCAGTTTGAAAAATGTTGGCAACACATTAAACAACTTGGGCAGTGCTGTTGGGGTCCAGTCGGCCTGTGACTGCTGGGTTTCAGCCTTGATCCCATCTGAGCTCTGGGAGGATAGGTGAGGAGGCCAAGGCCAGAGGGAGGCGGCCTGGCTTGTTGGGACTCCTGGACAGCCAGGCCCCGTGCCCCCATCAGGAGGGCCTGGTAGTCAGGTGCCGGTACCCCCTGGCCAGGTGGTGATTGTCCCCTTGCCCCAGTTCTTCCTCTAGCCTGGGCCTGTGCACATCTGGGCTGGTGTTCGGTGCCACACTGAGGCCTTGTGGGCTGATAGGTCAAATGTATGTCCAGCCTCGATGCCCCATTCAGCCACTCGGCCCCAGGCATTTAGAGGTTGGCTGCTTTTGATTTGTTACTTTTGGGGAAGCTGCAGCTGGTCGGGGGCAGCAGGGTAGCTGTTCATACAGCGTCTGGTAAGAGCCCCTGTCTCCCTCTTGCCCATGTGCCTTTGTGCCTGCAGATCCCTGTGGCCTGAGGCTGTGATCGCACTTCCCATAGCACATTCTTTCTGAGAAGGGTGTGCTGGGGGGTCTGCTGGAGCCCCAGGCTGAGGGAGGAGGGGGCAGTAGGTAGCCCAGTGGGGCTGTGTGCTGAGGAGCTGTGCAGTGGGTCTGAGTGTGTGGATGTCTGTGAGGGGTCGCGTTGTCGATGGCTGTGGGCATGTGGCTGTGTGTCTTGGTGCGGTTGCCTGTGCTGGGTCAGCTGTGGGCATGTTCTCGAGACCATTTCTGTGTGTGTGTGTGTGTGTAGAAGGTGCGACCTCGGGCTGGCGGCTGTGTGTCCTCATTCACTCATGACTGAGTCACACAGACAGCCTTCAGGGACGTGGTGGCTCCAGGGGAAGGTGGGGTGGGTGGTCAGTGGGTCTGAGTCACCGCCAGAGGCCGAGGCCCACGGTCACAGGTGGGTGTGGGACATGGCTACTCCTTGGCTCACCTGGCCTCTGCCCCCAGAGCAGCTCGTGCTGGGTGCCTCGAGGGAGCTGGTGGGCTGCTGGGACCAGGACTATGATGGGGCCGTGCTGCCGCTGCTGGATGCCCAGCAGCCTTGCTACCTGCTCTACCGCTTGGACACGCAGAACGCCCAGGGCTTCGAGTGGCTCTTCCTCGCCTGGTCACCTGATAATTCCCCTGTGAGTCCTAGGGACCCCTGCCCAGCCCCCAGATTGGAGGAAGGGGGAAGCTGGGTCTGATTGAGATAACACGGCCCTGCCCCAGGGAGTCTGAACGGGGGAGACATCAGATCCTGCTCTAGAGGGTACGAGAGCAAGGGATGAGGTCCTGCGCTTGGAGCCTGGGGTCTCTGAGAGCCTCCTAGCCAGATCAGCCTGGCTCTAGGAGGCAAGAGGTTGGGCTGGACAGCAACTCCCCCTGCTGTCTGAGCCGCCCTACTGCAGCCTCGCCCCCTCTGCTGCGCCCTCTGCTGGGTGTGTGGGCACAATGAAGTGACCAGGTCCTCACCCAGAGGCTCCTGTCTGCTCCTGGACGGGCAGCCCTGCCTGGAGGGGTCTCATGGCTTGGCCCCCACCCTTCAGGTGCGGCTGAAGATGCTGTATGCAGCCACACGGGCCACGGTGAAGAAGGAGTTTGGGGGCGGCCACATCAAGGATGAGCTCTTCGGGACTGTGAAGGTAGGCCCCCTCCCCTGGGCGCCCCTCGCCCCCTTCAAGGCCAGGATCGCTAGGTTGCAGTCATGAACCCACAGAGGGTGAGGTGTTATACAGGGTCCAGAGTAAGTGGGTGCCAGGCTTGGGGGTGAGTAGGGAGGGCTGCGAGGGTCCAAGGTCTGCAAGCTGGGGTACTTAGTGGGCTTCTGCCAGCCCACCCCAAGGTGCTCATTTATGCCTCTACATCCACCGGCCAGGATGACCTCTCCTTTGCTGGGTACCAGAAGCACCTGTCATCCTGTGCGGCACCCGCCCCGCTGACCTCGGCCGAGAGAGAACTTCAGCAGATCCGTATTAACGAGGTGGGTGCGCTGGACAGGGTGGGCAGAAGTCCTGGCCCGAGGCCTTCGAGGTCACGTCATGCCCTGCTGGCCAAGCCTGTGCTCCCCAGGTGGGCTACACCCTGGTTTGGGTATGTGAGGGCCTCGCTTAATGTTCATCTGTCCCCAGGTGAAGACAGAGATCAGTGTGGAGAGCAAACACCAGACCCTGCAGGGCCTGGCCTTCCCTCTGCAGCCTCAGGCCCAGCGGGCACTTCAGCAGCTCAGACAGAAGACAGTCAACTACATCCAGCTGGTGGGTGCCCGTCCCCTGTCCCAGGCACACACTCAGAGTGTGCTGCACCTCCACCCTGCTCCTGCGCACACGCATGTGCTCACTTCAGCTCACCCACGTACTGGTGGGAACACGCTGCCCTCCATCCCTACCTGTTCCCTACAGTAGCCACGTGCGGTGGCTGCACTCTGTTCCCCTGCCCTGCCCTGCCCGGCTCACCCACAGGGACTCCTGTGAGACACTGTCCCTCAATCCGCCCTCCACGCTGCATACACACATCACCCCTGGGTTCACCCCTCAGCCCTGAGCCCCTTCCTGTCCCAGACTCCCTCTGCAGCCCCCTGACCACCCCCTTTCCCCAGCCAGGGTCCCTCTGCCCCAGTGGTGCAGCCTGCCCCCTTTCAAGCAGAATGGGTCCTCAGCTCTGAGGATAGGCTGGCCCAAGGGTGATGCCTCCTTGAGGTGAAGGCCCTCTCCACTGTCCTGTCCATTGTCCTTGCTGGGACTTGCTCCTCTAGCAGAGTGTTCAAAGGGGCAGAGTTGGGGCAGTGCCCAGGAGTGGCCTCTTCAGAGGGACCCGCATGGCAGGATGGGGGAGGGGAGCCCCGGGAGAGGGAGAGATGACAGCAGGTTCCCACCTCAGGGAATTCTTGTTGGCGAGGGTGGGCCTGGGCCCTCCCCCGCGCGGTGCCCTCACGTCTCCCCCTGCCCCTCGGCAGAAGCTGGACCTGGAGCGGGAGACCATCGAACTGGTGCACACAGAGCCAACGGACGTGGCGCAGCTGCCATCACGGGTGCCCCGAGATGCCGCCCGCTACCACTTCTTCCTCTACAAGCACACCCATGAGGGTGACCCCCTGGAGTCTGTGGGTGAGTGGCCGCAGCAGGGCTCCCGCGCTGGCCCACAGCTGGGTGGGCCGCCTGCAGGGGCCATGGGGCGGCAGGAGTCCCAGGCCCACTGCGGCTCACCTCCCTGTTCTCTGCAGTGTTCATCTACTCGATGCCCGGCTACAAGTGCAGCATCAAGGAGCGCATGCTCTACTCCAGCTGCAAGAGCCGCCTCCTCGATTCCGTGGAGCAGGACTTCCAGCTGGAGATCGCCAAGAAGGTGGGTGCCCATTCCCTAGGGCCTCGCCTCCCAGGGCCCTGTCACCCCACCCTCCACGTGGGGCATCAGGGTCCCGTGAGAATGGCAGAGCAGGGGCATTGTTGCCCTGTTGGTTGGATGGGGAGACTGAGGCCCAGGGGGTAGTGTGCATAGCCCAGGCCGCCCAGGTAACTGATGTCTTGGACAAGCCCCAGCTGTGACACCCATGTCTCTCCTTTTCCTGGGTCTGGAAGGCAGGTAGGGGGTGACAAGGCCTACAGGGCAGCAGGCCCTAGGCTCTGTGCTCCTGGAGGTGCGTTTCAGGTGGGGATCTGAGAGGACACCCCAGGGCTAGAGTGAGAGAGATCAGGGGGGTGCCCCAGGAGTGGGGGTGACCAAGGGTGGTGTGTGTTAGGGCCCTCCACCCTTGGAGTGACCGACCACTGCCTTGCCCTGCACAGATTGAGATTGGCGACGGGGCGGAGCTGACGGCCAGCTTCCTCTATGACGAGGTGCACCCCAAGCAGCACGCCTTCAAGCAGGCCTTCGCCAAGCCCAAGGGCCCCGGGGGCAAGCGGGGCCACAAGCGCCTCATCCGTGGCCCCGGCGAGAATGGGGACGACAGCTAGGTGGCGGGACCCGAGCCCTGCTGGCATGTGGAACTGTGGGGCTGCCCCTACCCGACCCCGACCCCATCCCCGTGGCCACCTCCCTCCTTCCCAGCCTGGGCTCTGGGGTGACCTCCTGTGGGCAGGAGGGCTGGTGAGTGAACATTCTTGCAGCTTCCGAGGACCACTGGGCTGGCATTTTGCGACCCTCCCCCTCTGCTGTCCCTGCCTCTCTTCCATGTGCCCAGGGCATCTGGGGACCCTGCCCAGCTGGTTCAAGGGGCTGGGTGGGGGGCCTGGCATGAACCTGGCCCCCAGGGGAACTGAGACTAGGGTCCCAGCATGGCCCAGAAGCCTTTGGCCACAAGGGGTGCGGTCATTCGGGGCTGGGGCAGGGGGTCATTGCAGGACGAGATGGTTGAATGCTGTATTTTTTAAAGAATAAAATATTTTTAAATCAACAGCTGAGTCTGGCCCTGAGGGACCATCTCTGGCGCCGGGAATGGGGAAGCCCTGAGCATAGAACTGTCCCCTCCCAATGCAGAAGGGGCCTGTTGGCCTGCTAGGTGGAGCCCCAGCCCTCCCGGCTGCAGATGTGTGGGAGAATCTGTGTTCCTGTATACGAGGGCACAGCGTGGAGAGGCCGGCTTGTCGATGGGAGCTCCATCCAAGAGGCAGGCACACCTCTGCTGTGATATAGGGGATCTGGGTAGATTCGTTTTCTGTGGCTGCCGTAACAAAGTACCACAAACTTAGTGGCTTAAAACTACACCTTTAGGGCTTCCCTGGTGGCGCGGTGGTTGAGAGTCCGCCTGCCGAGGCAGGGGACACGGGTTCGTGCCCCGGTCAGGGAAGATCCCACATGCCGCGGAGCGGCTGGGCCCGTGAGCCATGGCCGCTGGGCCTGCGCGTCCGGAGCCTGTGCTCCACAACGGGAGAGGCCACAACAGTGAGAGGCCCGCGTACCGCAAAAACAAACAAACAAACAAAAAAACTACGCATTTATTCTCTCACGGTTCTTAAGTCTGAAATGAGTCTTCCAGGGCTAACGTCACAGTTTTAGCAGGGCTGTTTCCTTCTGGAGGCCTCGGGGGAATCCATTTCCTCATCTTTTCCACCTTCTAGAGGCCGGTTGCATTCCTTGGCTTGTGGCCCCTCCATCTTAAAAGCCAGGGGCATAGCATCTTATCTCTGATTCTGCTTCCGTGATCATATGGCCATCAGTAGTCAAATCCTCTCTGCCTCTGTCTTATAAGGACATCGTGATTGTATTCAGATAATCCGGAATACTCTGCCCATCTCAAGAGCCTTAACTTAATCCCACCTGCGAAGTCTCTATCACATAAGGGAACATATTCACAGGTTCTGGGAATTAGGACATGGACTTCCTTGGGGGCCTGCCACACTGAGTAAGCTCTGTCCACGAGGTTTCCCGGCTGCCGTGGCCCTGAGGCATGGTGGCTGTTTCCGTGGACCTCTGGGTCTTGGTGTCTCCAGCCCATGTGTGCATGTGCAGACTTCACTGTCATCTCATGGGCCCTCTCTTGGGTACCTGCGTTCTGCCCCGAAGGGCCTGGGTTTCTGGTCCCAGGGAGTCTGGGAGAATCTCCCTCAGGCTTGGGATTCAGCAGGAACCAGAACTTCATTCTCTGCCTCTGAGAAGTGGGTGGAAGACCCCTCCCATCCTGGGTGGGAGTTGTGCAGGGGTGGGGACATGTGGGGCCGATGATGGATTCAGCTGCTCGATGGGCACCGTCCTTTTTCTTGAGAGTGCATCTTGGGCTGGGACTCAGGGCAGTATCCCATCCCTGGGGCCTCTCTCAGCCCCTACTAAAGCCCTTATTTATTTATTTTTAAAATTAATTAATTAATTAGTTTATTTTTGGCCGCATTGGGTTTTCGTTGCTGCGCGCAGGCTTTCTCTTGTTGTGGTGGGCAGGGGCTACTCTTCGTTGCAGTGCATGGGCTTCTCACTACAGTGGCTTCTCTTGTTGCGGAGTGTGGGCTCTGGGCTCTAGGCTCACGGGCTTCAGTAGTTGCAGCACACAGGCTCAGTAGTTGTGGCTCATGGGCTCTAGAGCGCAGGCTTAGTAGTTGTGGTGCACGGTCTTAGTTGCTCCAAGGCATGTGGGATCTTCCCGGACCAGGGCTCAAACCCATGTCTCCTGCATTGGCAGGCGGATTCTTAACCACTGTGCCACCAGGGAAGTCCTGAAGCCCTTAGAATTGTAGGGAGGAGAGCTGGAACCCTAGCCAGAATCCAGAGAAGGAGACCTGTCCTTTCCCACCCCAAACACTGGTTCTCAGGTGAGCAGGAGGACAATGCCATCGCCCTCAGACTGCTAAACCGCCTGGGCCTGTGCACCAGCTGGACGCCTGGCAGCTTGGCGCCTGCCTGCCATGACACCATCCAGAGGTGGGCACAGAGAAGCACAGAGAAGCTTCCCCTCCCAGCAGAAGCCCTATTTGTTTGTTCATTCATTCAACCATGACTCAGAAACACTCTCTGTGCCTGCCCAGGGCTGAGTGCTGGAGACCCATGGATTCAGCAAATATTGAGCACCTGCTATGTGCCGGGTACTGTGCTGGGCTCTGGGGACACAGACAAAGAGGTCCTTGCCCTCAAGTAGCTGACGTTCCAGCAGAGGAATAAGAGAATATACAAGAAACCATGAAAAATCAGTATTATGGTGTGTTAGCAGGTAAAGACTGTTAAGGACAAATTACGTAAAAGAGCTCAGGAAAACCCAGTCTGGGGTAGGGGGTTTATAAGAATGTCAGAGAAAGCCTCATTGAGAGGGTGATGTGTGAGCAGAGATGTAAAGGTGGTGAGGGAGGGGGCTATGTGAGTATCTGGAAAAAGCTTCAAGACAGAGGGAATGGGGACTCCCTGGTGGACCAGAGGTTAAGACTCCATGCTCCCAATGCAGGGGGCCCAGGATTGATCCCTGGTCAGGGAACTAGATCCCTCATGCCGCAGCTGAAAGATCCCGCACGCCACAGTGAAGATCCTGTATGCCACAACTAAGACCCAGCACAGCTAAACAAACAAACAAACAGCACATTCAAAGGTCCTGGGGCAGGAGAGTACATGGGTGTGTTCAAGCCACAGCTAGAAGGCCAATGGCTGGAGACTGGTCAGGGAGGCAGTGAGAGGGCAGATACCATAGGACCTTGCTGGCTATGATGTAGACTGGCTTTGACCCCAGAAAGGGCCGTGGAGGTGTCTGAGCAGAGGAGGGACCTAATGTGACCTAAGGGTCTAATGAGAATAAGCTTTGGGGCTTGAGAGCAGAATCAGGACAACCCTGAGGAGGCGATGACTGCACTGGTCTAGGCAAGAGGTGATGGCGGCTCAGACCAGGCTGGTGGATGTGAGGGTGGGGGGCAACGGGCAGATTCTGAACCTGGAGCCAGCAGGACTTGCTGAGGGTCCCAGGTCACCTTGAGGCTTTGGGCCTGAGTGATCTGTTACGATTCTTACCTGGGTCAGAAGGATCGTGTGAGAAGAGCCTCAGGGGAGGATGAGCCAGGAGGTCTCAGCTGGTCCAGCCATGGGGTTTGTTCTCTGATGGTGTGTTGGGAATGCAGAGGAGTCCCTGCTCCTAGAGGAAGTGGCAGCTGCAGTGGGGCAGGTGAGCCTGGGCGAGGCCAGTGCTGCCCCCCGACCCTGTATGCCAGGCCTGGCATGGCACACAGCCCTGGGGATGGGGCCGCAGGTCAGGAAAGGGCAGTGCGGGAGCTGCTGGCCTGAGAGTGCTGCCTGGGGGCAGGGGCTGAGCAGGCCCTGGCATGGGTGTCAGTAGCCCACCCAGGTCTGGCACTGCCCCTAATTCCACTCTCTCACTGACCTTAGACTGGGCTCTGGTGGTTGTTTCTCCCCAGACTTCCCAGAGGACCGGTGTGAGGCCCGTGTGGGATGTGGAGGGTTCTTAGGACAGGCTGTGGAGAAGAGGGGTGGGGGGGAGAGTAGAAAGAGGAAGAGGTGAAGGGGCCGGCTGCCACCTGACTATGCAAATAGCCTCTGACTCATTGCATCCCCCCCCACCCCGCCCCGACACCCCTGCCCTGGGCATGGGGTGGGGGAAGGAAGGGGGCTAGGTTATTGCGAAATTCTCACTTCCTCTGTTCCCCAAGCCGTCACCACGGGAAGGGGCTGTGAATGCGAAGCATCCTTCCCTGCAGCTGCTGCCTAGTCTGCCAGCCAGACCCTCTGGAGAAGCCCCCATTCCCTGTCATGGTAGGATAGCAGCCCTCAGTCCCCAGGGAAGGGGACAGTGGGAAGTGGTAGGGAGAAAGGTGGGATTGGTGGCTGCAATGGTGAAAGGGACAGTCACCCAGGTGGCCCTGGGGAAACTCACTGAACCCTGAAGATATCAGAGCAGAAGACCTTCTCTGAGCCATGAGACACAAACCCATTGCTTGGGTGAGGAGGCTGGGGCCTAGGGCTGCGCTCAGTGGTGGTGCTAGGCTGCGAGCAAGGGGAGCACCCAGGCTGGGCCCTGTCTGCCCTTTGCTGCCCAGCCTCCCCTCCAATCCGTTCTGACCCACAGCAGGTTGAGTGCTTGGGCTGGGTGAGGTGGGCAGATGGGGAAAGAGCTGGGCAGTGCCCACTCTGGCCTGGACCCTGGGTGGTAGACAGCCTGAGCCCCAGCAGGAGACCCTCATTCCCACCTCTTGGCCAAACGGAGAGGGAGGGCTGGGAGAAGCCTGGTAGAAAGCAGAGGGAGATTTTCAGGGGGCTGGAGGGAAGGGAAGATGCCCCCTTGCTCAGGAGGAAAGAGAAATGACCTCTGAGGAACGGAAGGGGAGAGTCGGGGAGATCCTGGGGGGCCTGTTGACCACCTACCTGGCTCTCCTGTCCAGTTGGGGTTTGGTTGAGTGAAAGCTCTAGATCATGAGTCTGGATTCCAGGTCTCAGAACCAGTTCTGACTCCCCGTTCTGAGTCAAAGGCTGGGCCTCAGACCTGAGTCCAAGTTCGCTGTGGGCCTTGGAGGTGGGATGGGCACTGGGCAGAGAAACAGGAACCTCCCTGGAGGGCTGGGAGCCCTGCGGGAGACCCGGGGGGTGGGGCAGGAGAGGTGGAGCTGGGGCCGTGCCCTCACACGGTGCCCACCCCACAGGGCCCCTGCCGTGCCCGGCACCCCCTTTCTCTCCTGGTGCAGGCGGTGGCACTGGCTGCAGCCCTGGCCCAGGGCACCCTGCCTGCTTTCCTGCCCTGTGAACTTCAGCCCCACGGCCTGGTGAACTGCAACTGGTTGTTCCTGAAGTCTGTGCCACACTTCTCGGCCGCGGCGCCCCGGGCCAATGTCACCAGCCTCTCTTTGCTCTCCAACCGCATCCACCACCTGCATGACTCCGACTTCGCCCACCTGTCCAGCCTGCGGATCCTCAACCTCAAGTGGAACTGCCCGCCGACCGGCCTCAGCCCCATGCACTTCCCCTGCCACATGACCATCGAGCCCAACACCTTCCTGGCCGTGCCCACCCTCGAGGAGCTGCACCTGAGCTACAACGGCATCACAACCGTGCCCGCCTTGCCCAGGTCCCTCGTGTCCCTGTCTCTGAGCCACACTAACATCCTGGTGCTAGACCCCACCCACTTCGCCGGCCTACACGCCCTGCGCTTTCTGTACATGGACGGCAACTGCTACTACAAGAACCCCTGCCACCGGACACTGGAGGTGGCCCCGGGCGCCCTCCTTGGCCTGGGCAACCTCACGCACCTGTCGCTCAAGTACAACAACCTCACGGAGGTGCCCCGCCTCCTGCCCCCCAGCCTGGAGACCCTGCTGTTGTCCTATAACCACATTGTCACCCTGGCGCCCGAGGACCTGGCCAATCTGACTGCCCTGCGCGTGCTCGACGTGGGTGGGAACTGCCGCCGCTGTGACCATGCCCGCAACCCCTGCATGGAGTGTCCGAAGCACTTCCCCAAGCTGCACCCCGACACCTTCAGCCACCTGAGCCGCCTCGAAGGCCTGGTGTTGAAGGACAGTTCTCTCTACAGACTGGACAACAGATGGTTCCGTGGCCTGGGCAGGCTCCAAGTGCTAGACCTGAGTGAGAACTTCCTCTATGACTGCATCACCAAGACCACGGCCTTCCGGGGCCTGGCCCGGCTGCGCAGCCTCAACCTGTCCTTCAATTACCACAAGAAGGTGTCCTTCGCCCACCTGCACCTGGCGCCCTCCTTCAGGGGCCTGCTCTCCCTGAAGGAGCTAGACATGCACGGCATCTTCTTCCGCTCGCTTAGCGAGACCACGCTTCAGCCGCTGACACACCTGCCCATGCTACAGATTCTGCGTCTGCAGATGAACTTCATCAACCAGGCCCAGCTCAGCATCTTCGGGGCCTTCCCGGGCCTGCTCTACGTGGACCTGTCGGACAACCGTATCAGTGGAGCTGCAAGGCCGGCAGCCACCTTGGGGGAGGCGGACAGTGGGCCGAAGATCTGGCTGCCGTCCAGGGACCTCGCTCCAGGCCCACTGGACACCCTCAGCTTGGAGGACTTCACGCTAAGCTGCAAGAACTCCAGCTTCACCTTGGACCTGTCACGGAACAACCTGGTGACGATCCAGCCAGAGATGTTTGCCCGCCTCTCGCGCCTCCAGTGCCTGCGCCTGAGCCACAACAGCATCTCGCAGGCGGTCAATGGCTCCCAGTTCGTGCCGCTGACCAGCCTGCGGGTGCTGGACCTGTCCCACAACAAGCTGGACCTGTACCACGGGAGCTCGTTCACGGAGCTGCCGCGACTGGAGGCACTGGACCTCAGCTACAACAGCCAGCCTTTCAGCATGCAGGGCGTGGGCCACAATCTCAGCTTCGTGGCCCAGCTGCGCTCCCTGCGCTACCTCAGCCTGGCGCACAACGACATCCGTAGCCGTGTGTCCCAGCAGCTCTGCAGCGCCTCGCTGCAGGCCCTGGATTTCAGTGGCAATGCCCTGAGCCAGATGTGGGCTGAGGGAGACCTCTATCTCCGCTTCTTCCAAGGCCTGAGAAGCCTGGTCCTGCTGGACCTGTCCCAGAACCGCCTGCATACCCTCCTGCCATGCACCCTGGACAACCTCCCCAAGAGCCTGAAGCTGCTGCGTCTCCGTGACAATAACCTGGGCTTCTTCAACTGGAGCAGCCTGGCCCTCCTGCCCCAGCTGGAAAAACTGGACCTGGCGGGAAACCAGCTGAAGGCCCTGAGCAATGGCAGCCTGCCATCTGGTACCCGGATCCGGAAGTTGGACCTCAGCGGCAACAGCATCGGCTTCGTGACCCCCGGCTTCTTTGTGCTCGCCAAGCGGCTGGAAGAGCTCAACCTCAGTGCCAACGCCCTCAAGACGGTGGAGCCCTCCTGGTTTGGCTCCGTAGCGGGCACCCTGAAAATCCTAGACGTGAGCACCAACCCGTTGCACTGCGCCTGTGGGGCGGCCTTCGTGGACTTCCTGCTGGAGGTGCAGGCTGCCGTGCCCGGGCTGCCCAGCCGAGTCAAGTGTGGCAGTCCCCGCCAGCTCCAGGGCCGCAGCATCTTCGCACAGGACCTGCGCCTCTGCCTGGACGAGGCCCTCTCCTGGGACTGTTTTGGCCTCTCCCTGATGGTGGTGGCCCTGGGCCTGGCTGTGCCCATGCTGCACCACCTCTGCGGCTGGGACCTCTGGTACTGCTTCCACCTGTGCCTGGCCTGGCTGCCCCGGTGGGGGCAGCGGCGGGGCACAGACGCCCTGTTCTACGATGCCTTCGTGGTCTTCGACAAGGCACAGAGCGCAGTGGCCGACTGGGTGTACAACGAGCTGCGGGTACAGCTGGAGGAGCGCCGTGGGCGCCGGGCACTCCGCCTGTGCCTGGAGGAGCGTGACTGGCTACCCGGCAAGACGCTCTTTGAGAACCTGTGGGCCTCGGTCTACAGCAGCCGCAAGACCCTGTTTGTGCTGGCCCACACGGACCGGGTCAGCGGCCTCTTGCGTGCCAGCTTCCTGCTGGCCCAGCAGCGCCTGCTGGAGGACCGCAAGGACGTCGTGGTGCTGGTGATCCTGCGCCCCGAAGCCTACCGCTCCCGCTACGTGCGGCTGCGCCAGCGCCTGTGCCGCCAGAGCGTCCTCCTCTGGCCCCACCAGCCCAGTGGCCAGGGCAGCTTCTGGGCCCAGCTGGGCACAGCCCTGACCAGGGACAACCGCCATTTCTACAACCGGAACTTCTGCCGGGGCCCCACGACAGCCGAATAGCACAGAGCAACAGCCCAGCGTGCCTCATCGCCCCACCTCTACTTGCCCCTCTGCCTGGGATGCCCCAACCTGCCTTGCTCGGCGAGACCACTGCTCTGCCTCCCCCTCCCCCCAGCCCCCTGGCATATAGCAGGCACTTAATAAATGCTACCAGAGGGCCAACCCCTAACCCTGAGCTCACTGGAGGTGTGAGTGGGAGGAAAAGGGGAGAATTCTCCAGGCCTTCCTAAAATGAAGGGGAGCAGGAGGTGATTTGGGGGTAATTGTCATGGAGAAAAAGGGAGGGCCCGTGGGGCATGGGTCCGCAGGGGAGGGAAGATGCTAAGGGCAATTGTGTTCACTGGCATCTTTTCAGGGGAGTCTGAGGAAGGTCACCGAGTGCGGCCTTGGTCTTTCCCAGAGAGCAGGCTGGGTCTTCTGCCCCTGTCAACCCCTCCCCAGATGCCCAGGCCTACCGAGCTCAGCATTCCTCTGGAACTGGTCTCAGGATCTGCCTCCCTCACCAGATGGAACTGAAGCTGCCTCAAGGGCAGAGAACCTGCAGGCCCCCTTCATTTCTGACTGGTGCCAGATTCCTTGGAGGCAGCGGCCCTGGGGAATGTCCATTCCTAAGGAGATAGGGAAGATTTGAGGCAAGTTCAGAGGGGTGATTGCGCCCTCTGGTGGCCATTTCTGTGCTGCACCCAGGAGGCTGGTCCAGGCTGGGGAGAGGAAGGCCTGCGGGTGAATCCTGGCAGCAGCGAGCTGAGAGTCAGGGAAGATTCTAGGGTGAGCTCACAATCCATCCCTTTCTGTTTCCACCTAGAGCACATGCTGAGTCTCTCTGTTCTGACATCAAATGGACACCTAGATGAGCCGCCACCTCTCACAGCTGACTGCACTTAGGTGAGAGTTGCAGCCAGGATGGAGTATGTGTGTGTGTTTCTAGTTTTGATACTAAATTTCAGTATAGATTTTGGGATACTGCCAGGAGCCTTCATGCCCAGTGTTTGGAGACAACCTGTTCACGGTCTCCACAAGTGTTTGGGGAGTTGTGGGTTCTGTCAGGCCCACAGTTCTTGTGGTGCTTTGCCCAGGCCGGCTGCCTCACCATCCCCACAAGTAAATCTGCCCTTCAAGGAGCAGAGGAGACACTTGCAGCCTCTCAGTCAGAGCTGGGGCCTGGGGCGGTGGGAGAGTGGAACCGGCTGGCCCAGGCCAGTTTGGGGCAGCTCAGGGCCTCTGGGCTGGAAGGTTGGAGCTCATGCAGACTTGGCTAATTTTGCAGCCCTGGTGGGGCTGGGAGGCTGCTTTTTCCCTCCCTCCAGGCCACAGCTGGGAGAGAAATATAGGTTTCCTTCTCCTTTCTGACCTGGGTACAGGGGTTCCTGCAGGGGGCTGGCATCCCCTATTATCTGCCTGCCTGAAAGAAAGAGAGAGGAGGATCTCTGACCCACCTATCAGAAGCCCCACCAGGGCCCTGACCCAATCCGGCTTCTGGAAGGGCAGGCTGAAGTTATAGCGTGGCCCCATGAGCTTCCGTGGCCCATGCCTGGGGAGAAAAGAAAACAGAAACCATCCTTCCCCCAGGCTGGAGTCTTGGGGGAGGCCCCTGCTGAGTGGCTCTGAGACCGCTCTGGCAACATCTGGAGCAGGAGGCAGGGCCCTGTCCAGGGCACCACATTTTGCATGTGGGAAGCACGATTTGCCTGTCTCAGACCAGCAGAGTCTGCCCTTGGGTAGTTCCCAGCTAGAGCCTCCACATACACGGTCACTCGCTCACGCTCCCAGACCTGGTTCTTT